GAATTGCTTATCAAAATCTGGTATGGCTAAGACAGGTGCCTGGACCAAGGCTTGCTTAAGAACAGTGAATGCTTCCTGAGTAGAAGGTGTCCACACAAATGGAGTTCCTTTCTTGAGTAATTACATTAATGGTCTCGCTCAACATCCCATAGTGCCTAATAAATTTTCTATAGTATCCTGTGAGACCAAGAAATCCTCTTAACTCCTTTATATTCTTAGGCACGAGTGCCATTGTTGAACTGCTGTATCTTTGATGGTTCTGTTGCAACCCCTCTGCGCAGAAATCTGAAAGGACCCGGATACTCTATCTGCTCTGCTCCTCCAAATTCTATAGTATCCATGAGCTTGACAAAAAATTGGTTGTCTCGATGATATCAAACACTTGCTTGATGAAGGAATAATGCTCCTCCAAATTCTTTGAGTAAATGAGAATATCATCCATGAAAACTAATACTCCCTTTCTCAAAGTATTCATCATACCCTGAAAAGTTGCAGGGGCATTTGTCAAGCCAAATGGCATCACCAGAAACTCATATAAACCAACCATTGTGGGTTTTGAAATCTGTTTTGTGTGTATCACAGTGCATAATACAAATCTGATGATAGCCCGACCTAAAATCCAGTTTGGAAAACCACTTTGCACCAAAGGAGTTCATCAAGGCAAAGGGTGTTTATTCTTTATAGTGACAAGATTCAAGTGTCTATAATCCACACAAAACCTCCAGCTCCCATCCTTTTTCTTCACCAAAAGTCTTGGAGATGCATAAGGGCTAGTAGTGGGTTTAATGATCCCATGCTTCAACATCTTAGATAACTGTTTTTCTATCTCACTCTTATATATGGGAGCATACCTATATATGATCGACATTAACAGTCAGGCTCCAGGAACCAGAGTGATATGATGATCACATGTTCTCCTTGGTGGTAGGGCAGTAGGCTCTTGGAAGATATCCTGATACTGTGATATCAATTGCTGAATATCCTTAGGCACATTTGAATCATTACCCTCAGAAAAGGTCACACTGCACACTTGCTGATCAGCAGGATCCATGGACAATTTCTGGACAGCAGTAGGTAAAAGCTGGATACAGTGGGAGATGGCTTGTCTTCTAATGAGATCCTTTAGTCTGCCAGCATTATAGCTGAACACTTGGTGACTTCAGGTCTTATTCCCCTTAGAGTAACTCTAGTACCCTGATGTATGAACCTCATGATTTTCTTTGTCCAATGTACCCACATGGGGCTACTTTGCTCCAGCCAATCTTCTTTCAAAATCATGTCATAGCATTTTAATGGCAGTATTCCAACATCTGTATGAAAAGTCTGCCCTTGAGTACACCTTTGGGATGTGCTGAGAGCAAGTCATTGGTGTTCCATCAATTTGTGATATCTTGAGTAGCGGGACAGTCTTGCAGATGTGGCTTCAACTTAGCAGCCACTTCAGGACTAATAAAGGAACCCACACTGCCTGAATCAACTAATATCAGAACTTCCATGTTGCCAATAAACCCACTCAATCTCATAGTCTTCCTCTTTTCCTGAGCCTTTACTCGACTATCACCAAGAGCCATGACACCTTCAGGTTCCACAGATTCCTCTAGAGTACTAATCTCAGACTCATCACAATCCTCCAGAGCATCCAACAATTCTTTCACAACATGAATAGGGACTTGAGTTGGGCATTTGTGTCCTGGCCCCCACTTCTCTCCACATCTAAAACACAACCCATTTTGTCTTCTATAGGCTTTGAGAGAACCCAACTTATCTTCTGGTAACTTAGCCTTAGCTTAATTTTTCAGGCTCAACTTGCCTAACTTTGTCCCCAGCATTATATGGTTTGAATGCAGATTTACTCATTTCCTTGGGATTGAACTTCTTCTTTGCATTTTCCAGCTCCTCCTCCTGCAACTAAGCCAATGCGCTCACAGTATCCACATCTTTGGGCCGATGCAAAGTAATAGCCACCCGAATCACTTCCTTCAGACCCCCAAGAAATCGAGTCACCAGATAAGTGTCATCATACGATGGGTTGTACAGCAAGATCCCATGGGCCAATTCCTCAAAGTGCCGCTGATAATCCAGCACAGAGCCAACCTGCTTCAACGCATCAAATTGCTTCAACAGTAGTGGGTACTGGTCTTTATCAAACTTGGCGAAGACCAATTCACAGAGCTTATCCCAATCTCCAATTCGGCCCCAGCGCTCAACCGTCTGCAGCCACGTGGTTGCCGGTCCGGTGAAATTGAGGGCAGCAAATCTCGTCTTCAACGCAGGATGAACCGCATAGACTTCGAAATACATCTCACACTGATCGCGCCACCACCTCGGGTTCTCACCGAAAAATTTTGGAAACTCAAGCTTAGGATACGGTGCAGAACGCGGCAAAGAAATCATGGAATCATCACGCGCATGGCAAGAAGATTGGAGAGAGTCATGCGACGTACCCTGAAGTAACGGTGGTGGGAAGGTTCCCGAGGATGCTCCCGGTGCCCACCACCAACCTCGTGCAGTGCCCACGAGGTTGGTGGGCAGTCCCCGAGCATCCCGGATGGGCACCACGAGGTTGGTGGTACGTCGATGACTCTCTCCAATCTTCAGAGCAATGTTCAGATCTAGTACATTGCGAGCCGGAAGAACCAGTTGAGGAAGCATCGCCGCTTGTTGCGGTGAAAGCTGTGTCGATGGCAATGGTGGTGGTGGTGGCCGTGCCTCCAATCGCTCCAACCGTGCCGCCGCCAAGCCCAAGTCGATGGAGGTCGCCGAAGTCCGCTGCAACAGAGCGCCGAACGACTTGTCAGCATCGCCCCGCCATGTCTCAATCCCTCTCAGCTTCTCAAGAATGTCTCCCATCATTGATTGGAAGCTCTCCAGCTGCTTGGTCAGCTTCTCCACCTTGGAATCCACCCCTTCAATGGTAGTCGCCATCTGCTGCTGAAACTTCGAAACCTTCGGCGCCAGATCGTCAAGAACACAGGTAAACAAAAGTTTGCCTCCCTGCAACCTTGCTCCGAATACCAATTGTCACGTAACTAATAACTAGAGCACGAGGGCTCCAAGAGAATAGAGTTTGGGGATACAGGAATGGAGGGATTGAGGATTAGCAAGAACAGCAATGGAGGAAGGGTTCAGACGAGTTTGTTGGGGAATCGTTATAATTCTGTTCAATGCCTCTCCTCCTCTAATATACCCGCTGCGGCACGCAGGCCCACTAGAGACGCCATAACGGTCCAAAGAGAATACAGGTTCGACGGCCCACCAGCTCACCCTGCCGCCTTCTTCTTCCTATTCCTCATCCGGCACATGACAAAACCCCTTCTATTCCATTCAAAAAAAGGTTATCTCAGGCATAGTGTTTTTGATGTTTTTTTTATCTTCTTATAATCGACAGCTCTACTACTCGGTTCATTAAAAAAACCCGTATACTCGCAGGCTGTCTACGTGGACATCTGACCATTTGTGAGGTTTAGGCAAAAGCCTCTAAGTCTGTGCTGTTGGGTTGTCACTTGAGGTAGACTAGACCACGTGCATCTGACCATATGTGAGGTTAGGCAAAAGCCTCTAAGCCCCCCTTTGGCAGGGCTTTTGCCGCGGCTTCTCGAGCGGCTTCGGGCGAAGCCCTGCCAAACGGCCATAGGCAAAACGGCTTGCGGCAAGAAGCCGGCAAAAGCCCCGCAAAAACCCGGTGACTCAGTTCCTCCCCACGCGAGAAGCCAAAAATACTGGCTTATTCCGGCTCGAGCTCGTCACTTTCCATCCCTGTCCCCGGCTTGCTCTCCTCCCCGACGCCAGCGCCGCTGGCGGCGCCACCTCGGGCTCGAGCTCCGCCCAGCTCTTGATCTCCTGCACCGCTCCATGGCCTCGAGCTCAGCTCCAGCTCTGCCCCCGCTGCGCCGCCCCTCCGGCACTGGAAGGTGTCGGACGGTCGGGGACCGTGGGCGAGGAGGCGCCAAGAAGAGGCGGTCCGGGACGATGGGGTCGAGGCCGGCCGCGGAGGAGGCTGGGAGGTGAGGCCCACCGCCACGCCGCCGAGGCGCCAAGGCTGTAGGAGGAGCACACAGCACGGGCTTGCTGGGCGGGGGGGCGCCAGAGTGGACCACGGTGCTGGTGCCGGCCGGCGAAGGGAGGTGGACGGAGAAGGGGCGGAGGCCCGCGGAGACGAACTGGCCCCGGAGGAAGCGGTCGCGCGTGGCTGCGAAGCTTTAGAGCTACGCCCAAGAGAGAGAGAGAGAGAGAGGGGGGGAGGGAGTGGGTGATAGGATAAGGAGGAGAGGAGTGTGGCTGTTCGGATAAGGAGAAGAAAAGAAGGGGAGAAGGAAAGAAAAAGAAAAAAAAGAAAGAACAAGAAAAGAAAAATGAAGAGAAAAAAGAAAAAAAGAAAATAGAGAAAAAAATATAAGGGTAATTTGGACATTTGACATCTTCTTTACAACTAGAAGAAGCCGTTTTGCCAAACGTTTTCGTACAAATAAGCCAGAGCCAGAAAAAACTGCTTTTCCATATGAGCCAGAGCCAGAGCTGTTTTTTCACGAGCCAAAGCCGTGCCAAACGGGCCCTAAGTCTGTGCTGTTGTGTGGTCACTTGAAGTAGACTAGACCATGTGCATGCCAAATCATTTTCCAGGGATCCCATTTAGCGAAATGAAGGATCGTTGGAGCTGTTCGCTTCCCATGGATGAAAATTTAATAATAGATCCTGCCATGCATAATTTTTGCATTGACTCAACGGCAATTTCGCTGAAACTATGTAAGGAAGTATCTTCCATTTTCTAAAAAAACGAAATGGAGGATGAAAAAGTATAGAGAGATCCAGTTTCTCCACTAGGACAAAAATCCTCGATTTTGTAAGAGCTCCCGTAGATACTTCCAGCAAGACAGTATCAACGAGTCAACACGAACGCAGTATGCTATGCCATCATGGGATCCCACTAATACTGAACTAATTCAGTGTATTGATGTCAGCGGAGAAGCTCTACAGTACTCTTATATATACAGGAGTGCAATTTAATCATCATATAAGTACGGGTAGCTTGTTACATGAATGGTGGGGGCTCCTGGATGATGCTCGTCGAAGAAGCTCCTAATTGCAGCCTCTATAATAGGCACTTGTGACTCTTCGCTTCTAGATCTAGAGTAACCCAGACAGATGAAAACCTTTGTCAGATTTGACAAGTGCTCGATGCTCTGAACATGCGAAGCTAGCCAAGCATACGGCCGGCCTTTTCTCAACAACAGCAATGCATGATTCAGCTCAATGGCTTCTGTTCCGCCACCACCATGAAGTCTGGCGACATAGTTGAGTTCTCGCACATGCAATGGAAAGCAAAGGATCTTGACCATGGGCATTGCTCCAGCCTGAAAGTGGAAGGGGAGGCCAGCTTGAGGTGCTGCAAAGTAAGTAAGAGCCCTGAACACCGCACCCCTGCTGAAGACAATACCTCCAGCAGGGACATGGTTCGCCTTCAGCACAAGACGGGCGAGTGCAGGTAAACCTGCAAGAGCAGCAATGCCATCCATATCCAGCTCGTCAAGGTGTATTTCCAAGATCATGACCGTGCTAAGCTGACCAACCCACGCTGGTAACCGCGGAAACCGGAATTGCAGGTGCAGTTGCTCGAGATGACAGCCAGACAAGCGTAGAGAGTTCCACCCATCACAGTGACCTATCATGTCATCATATGTGAAAGCAGTTAAACGCCTCAAATTGCCACTGATTAGCTTCTCGACGGAATAAAGCAGAGCTCCCATGTGTGCTTCCATTGTGTAGAAACTCCGATCAGTGATATACATGTTCAGCTCCCTTAGATTTTGCAATTCCCAAGAGCCCTCAAATTATCCACCGATCGACTGCTTGCATGGATCGAAGGAATGCAGAGTACGCAGAGATTTCACATTGCTGATTCCATCAGGATAAGCTGTGCATGGATAAACCTCCAGATATGACAAAGTAGGCAAATGAACAATATCATGTGGAAGATGGGACAACTGCCCACATATCATCAATGTCTCCAGATGATGCAACTGGCAAATTTGTCTAGGGAGTTGAATGCTTGATAAATGGTTATTACTTTTAACATATAAATACCTCAGTTGAAACAAATTCCCGATTGGAGTGAGATCCAAATCGCCAACCTTACAAACAAATAGAACTTGGAGAAACTTCAGCTTCATTGGTTGAAGGCTATGTTGGGAGAGCCCAAAAATAAACAATGATCGCACATGTGGTAGACTCATTTAACTCTGAGATGCAATTTTATCAAGTCCTGACTCATTAAGCTGCAGGGAGAGCCGCCGAGCATTGTACTGTTGTCTTCTGGTGACTGTATGTAGGTTTTGTACTACACCCAAAAAATCTCTTCTGCAGACTTGGACAGAATTAGATCTAGAACCATATCATGCACTTTGTAATACATAAGCTCATTGTTCCAACCATTAAGTTTAACAAGCTGGATGATCATGCTACTGTTCACAAGTTCATTGAAATAGCTCTGTGCAGTTGCCAATGCATCTCTCCCATCTAATCCACTAACAAAACCTTCAGCGACCCATTGCATAACTAAGTGGTTCACTTCAATGTCATGGTCCTCTGGATACATACCAATATATAATAAGCATGTCTTTAGATGATGAGGAAGATGTGTGTAGTTAAGGTTTAGTATCTGTCTCATCCCTTCTAAGGATGGAGTTGACAGAGTGGAGCGTAGAGAATTGAGGACATAGTTCCATTGGCACACTGATCTATTCGATTGACTAGCTAAAAGGCTAGCTATACTGATGATTGCTAGTGGCAGACCACCACATTTTTGTAGAGTTTTCTCAGATGGTTCTTCAAATGACTCAGGACATGCATTTCCCGACCCAAAAACTCTACGATGAAACAACTCCCTGGAATTATGATTGTCAAGAGGTTTCATCATGTAAACGAAGTCCCACTGAAAATTGCAACATGTCACAGCCACCCTTTCAATTCGCGTAGTTGTCAACACTTTGCTACCGTAGTGCCCCTCAGGGAAAGCACATTTAACAATTTCCCATGCGGATGAATCCCATAAATCATCAACTACAACAAAATACCTGCAAAATATGTTTGTCGATATACATATATTAGTATGACAATTGACACGTGAATTAAAAGTCGTCTTCTGAATATATGTTGAACTTTAGCCTCCAAAATAATAAGTTCATGAAACATGTCATCATCCACGTGTCAAAAAATCACACATTATTTTGACAAACATTATGCAATATACATACCGCACTTATTGAATTAGCTTGCCAAAATTCCCAGATCTTTTTATTAAAGATTGCAACATTACCCAGATGATATGTATTGGATCGAGATTGTTACAACATATAGACAAACCTTATTGTATTTGGATCAGCAAAGTAAAAGAATTAGATAAATTTGACTCTATATTTAGTTTTGAAATTGTGAATCTACATGTAATTTTAAATTTTGAAGAATTGAAACATCCAATTCTGCAAATTAAAATGCTGGCTAAAGAAGTGTAGACTGTGTTGGGGTGAGGTACATATGAACTTCAAGCCATACTGCCATGTACTGTATGTAAGGACCAAACAGGGGGAATAGGAAATCTAATCAATTCCATGTAACTAGGTCCATGTGTTGTTAAAATTTGAATTGTGTGGACAATTCCTTTAGCAGATAAACCCAACAAAGCAGTTACATATATAGTTTCTATATATTCAAAATAAATCCAAAAGGGAGCCTCCTCCCACAAAAAAAAATATGGACACACATATACAAAATATGTACCCTCAGGTTTGCTCATTTTTCATCTTGCTTTATTAATTTTCTAATACTTATCGACTTTCATATATGTGTAGATTAACATTAGCTTATTAGAAATGTGACTGTCTGATGTGTATGATATACCATATGAATTGTTAAAAACAAACTTGAGGGAGTATAGGGGCAAGCAATAGTTAACTACCTTTTGTCTTGCAGATACATTCTAAGTTTGTTTATGAGCTCATTAATGTCAGAAGTATCAACCAAGGGCCCCAACATCTGTGTGGCCAAACTCTTGAGAAGCGTCATCATGTCAGGTCTTTGAGACACTGATACAAAGGCCTTACAATCAAAATCTTCTCCAAGCTTGACGAATACTTCATTTGCAAGTATAGTCTTTCCTAGACCTCCAAACCCAACAATAGATACCACCCTTGGCTCTTGCACCAAGGCATCATCCACCTTCGTAAACCAATTCAAAGAAAAGTACGCACGTAAATTGGCTAGATTTATTATAAACCCCTGGTCACATTAGATCTATAATAAACCACAAACAAACCAAAATAACAACAATAGGATACCGACCTGCTTTGTGAACAAATTAATTATCTCTTCCTTCGGGCCATCAATGCCAACAAGTCTCGATGATTGCGCATAAAGAGCAGTCATCCGAGGGTTTGAAAGCATCTAGGCCCCGAGTTGAGTTTCGGTGATTAATGACAATACGTGATTACTATGACTAACGTGTGTTTTGCAGAGGCAATTAAGTTAGGTCACGGTAATGGAGATCGATTGGGCTATCATGGTGGTCATGCCCCTACGATGGAAATCGTTTCGGTTTTCAAAGGATGGACGACAAGATTAAGGATGGACTAGTTCTAAGTGTCAATTGAAGTTGAAGAGACACTTAGAGTAGTTTATGACTTTGTTTTTCCTTTGGCCGTACTATTAAGGGGGGTATGAACGGGTAGCTTGACCTAGGTGAGTCTAGTGGGTTAGGTGTGGTGCACACTTGCTAAATCTAGCACTAGGTAGCTTCTAAAAAGCCCTTAGATCCATTGGAGTAAACTTCATTCACGTATGATTGAGAGTTGAAAGTGAATGGAGGGTCAAATACTGACCGGACGCTGGCACAGAGTCCGGTCAGTTCATTTGATCAAGGTAAAATCGTCTGGTGCGACCGGACGCTAAGAGGTGAGTGATCGGACGCTGGGTTAATCATGACCGGACGCTGTCCAGCGTTCGGTCACAACTTAAACACTGGAGGTCGGGGTGAACTGACCGGAGCGTCCGGTCACCCCGTAGAGGTACATAATGGTTCGTTTTTCAACCAAAGTTATAAATACTTCCTCCATTCGTGTGAGGGGGTACTTTTGCTCATTCCAACAGCTGAGAAACACCTTTGAGAGTGCCAAGAAGAGTAAGGTCCTAGTGAGGTGATTGAGATTTGAGAATCCCAAAGAGAGCCCTCATTAGTGAAAGCAAGAGTAGCAAAGTGTGCATCCACCCTTCTCATTAGGCTTGTCTTGGTCAAGTGAGAGTTCGTGCTTGTTACTCTTGGTGATCGCCATCACCTAGATGGCTTGGTGGTGATTGGGAGCTTGGTGATCATCCGGCGGAGCTTGTGGATGACCCAACTCGAGTTGTGAGCGGTTGTGGGTGATTCACCACGACGGAGTGTCAAAGAATCAACCCGTAGAGAGCACTTGATCCTTGCGCGGATCAAGGGGGAGCTACACCCTTGCACGGGTGCTCCAACGAGAACTAGTGGGGAGTGGCGACTATCCGATACATCGGCAAAACATCGCCGCGTTCATCCTTCTCTCTTTAATTTGAGCATTTACTTTGAGCAATTCAATTCTTGTCATTTACATTCATAGAATTGCCATGCTAGACTAGGATTGGAACATAGGTTGCTAAACTTTTGAGCGTTAGATCAATAGAAACACTTTCTAGGCACAAGTGGTTAATTGGGCTAACCGTAGGGTTTAATTATTGCAAAGAAATTTAGAATTAGCCCAATTCACCCCCCTCTCTTGGACATCTTGATCCTTTCAATTTGTATTGGAGCCTCGTGCTCACGTATTTAGACTTAATCGTCTAGAGAAAGATGTCTCACGGGGATGGTCCTCCTCCTATCTTTGAGGGGGGTGATTTTCCATATTGGAAAATCCACATGGAGGCGTATTTAGAAGCTCTAGATGTTGGAATACTTAGAGCCGCCTCACAAGGCTTCCCAAAACCTCGGGATGCTACACACCTACAAGGCGATGAGGTGAATTACGAGAAATGGAATGCAAAGGCTCAAAACACCATCTTTAGAGGCATTTGCAAAGATGTGTTTAACCGGGTGAGGAACCACAAGGACGCCCATGCACTATGGTCGGACGTTTGTGCGCTCCATGAGGGAACAAAGAGTGAGCGTGGAGAACGCTATCATCTTGTCATGAAAAAGCTTAACTCTTTTGAGATGCTTCCTAAAGAATGTGCTAATAAGATGTACTCATGTTTGAATGTTCTTGTAGAGGAAGTCAATGGGCTTGGACTCACTCAAATGCAACCATCCGATGTTGTAAGAAAAATCTTGAGTGTCCTCCCCATTGATAAATATGGGCATATTCTGACCATGCTTCATCAAGGTGATCTTTCCACCGCTACACCAACACAAATCTTGGGAAAGATCAATGCTCATGAGATGTACATGCACATCACACCACACGATGGCTCATCCTCTACTAAGAAGAAAGAAAAAGACTTAGCATTCAAAGCTAGCCAAGAGAAGGGTAAAGGAAGGCTTGAGTATGAGAGCTCAAGTGATGATGAAATTGATGATGCAAGTCTTGCTCTCATGGTGAGAAGAACCACCAAGATACTAAAGAAGCTCAACAAGAGTGGCATCAAGTTTGATGGCAAGAAGAAGTTCTTCACTAGCTCTAGAAGGAAGCCAATCTCTGAGATGGATTGCTATAATTATGGAGAACTGGGTCATCTAGCACACCAATGCACCAAGCCTAAGAAAGACAAGTTCAAGAACAAA